TCACTGAATGTTGCTCATAATGGCCCCGCGCCGTTCGCTTCGAAAGCGAATAGGGAGTATTTCTCAGTCTGTGATGAACTCCTACTCAATCGACCCCACCGTCATCGTTCCCGTCTGACTGGCGCTACCCTCCTTCGACAGGAGCACTGCTTTGTAAAGACTTCCGCTCTCCTTTCTAAATATAAACAGAATTTTTAAGATTTTCTGGGACACAACTACAACAGTGGGATGCGGAGTGCTCACGTGCTATGATGGAAGAATAAGTGTCGTTTGCCAGTACCATCCACAGTGAGTAAAGTGCTCAAAAGCTGCACACTCACCTCCGAAGACGGTCCTTGTGTGGGGCATATGGGTCGGCAGCTGCAGTGGGTACCAGGTTTTTTCGGTCAAAAGGGCTTATAGTGCAGGAGGCGGGGTAGGAGAATCCAAGTCCCGTTCGCCCGTGTTTTCTTCAGAGTGCACCACTTTTTGGTGCATCTTGAATTTTTGTGCATGGTTGCGCGAAATAAGCAAACGCAGACAGATAGAGGATAGCGCCTGCCAGAGCATCGAAGTATGCAAGGAACATCTGGTGGGCCACGAAGCGCTTATTCAAAGGGAGGGACTCCAGGGTGGGTGAGCCATTTGTCATACGTGAAAAGCTGGAATGTGCGAAGTCACAATGACATAGAGTGCCGCGCGGACGAGAGAAGCAGAAAAGAACACAAATTCAACGCGTTCAAAGGAATCGACTTCAAGTTGTCCGTATACTGTGGAGAGCAACCACAAAAGAGAGAACGCAGACAAGTAGTGCGTTTGGTTATGGGAAGTGTGACCGTACAGCAGAGCGGGCGGGTCTCGCTCTTTTGACCGAAGATAGTGACGCGCTAATGCAGCTGCGGGCTCGCTTACCTCATGCATGGCAAGTACTGGAATCAACCGAGGTGAATAAGCAGTTTGCCTTCAGAGAACAGAGCTGAGCTTCGAATCTCATTCGTAAGCTTATAAAACAGCTCATCTTTCTTTTGCAGAGGGAATTACCTTGGACAGAAATGGTACACGCCTGGTGATACACTGTCTGAATGTGGGAAGCATAAAAAAATCAGAAATATCTTTGGTCAACTCGTTGATGAAGTGCAAGGGATAGAAATCCCACATTCGAATACTGGACTTTGTGAAATTTTGACTTGAAAAAATCATTAAAAGTGAACATCCAATAAAACACTCATTGTTAGAACAACATTGTGCATGGATGACACATCGTAAACCATGTGTAACTCTCCAAGCAGTACATAAAATGAGCTCAAATCCCAAGCAGTATATTTTGGGCTCTAATTAGGACAGCGTTTAGACTTTGCAATGGGGTGTCAGTCTACGATACGCTGCGACACTTTCTATTATATCGTATAAAAAATAATGACCGTTTTGAAGCAAATATTCTGAAATGTAGTCGCTTCGAAGTGTTGCTTTTCAATCGAAATAACGACCAAAAGAATCAACACATTCCTGCCAACAAGAAGGCAGTTTAGATATACGGCAGCGTAAAATTCTGGGACCGACAGAATCGTTGAATGCCTTTCTACGACGGCAGCGTACA